TACAAACCAAGATTTGAAGTGGTACATCTGATCAGCACTCTCTGATTAGAAACAAAATCATTGATGAGAAGTAATTGTCCAAATAACTTTTTATATGGACTTAAGCCTAATGTCTGGGAAGTATAATCCCTTGAACTCTTAAATATACTGATGACTTTCCTCTTTGGTTATACTTTCCTTTTGGGTGTTTAAGATTATACAGTTGGTCCAAATAAATCAATTTATTTTTACACAAGGTAATTTGAGGATCAGTTCCTCAGGTCACATGGGCTTGGGAGGAGCCCCTGGCTCCTTTTACCAGCTCCATCTATGTGAAGATAAGTCAAAGGTCCTGCTCGACCATGTCTGCTTTGCTTGGAAGCGTGAATGAGATGTTTCCTCTGAGTTAACTCTCCTCTTTGGAGACTGGACACTGGTTCAAGTCCATCTTGTGGGGTCTCCATGTCCTCCCTAAACAAGTGGACAGGTGACTCACTGCAGTTACAGGACATTTTTGAGAGATGTTCTATAATCCCCTGGAACTTAGTCGACCTTGGAGGGCAAGGGGTAAAAACTGTCCTGTAAGTCCCTCTGACCAGATTATTATAGGCCTCAAAGTATGGCTGTTAAACATCCAATAAGGTTAGTTCCACCAGTCTGGTACTTTTAATTACCAAGTGCTATGTAGCTAAAGCTTGGGTAAAAAACCAAATATTCGCATATAAACTGAGTAGATACAGATTTTGTTCCTTAAACTGGTTGACTAAAGTATGACCTTAGAAATTTTAAGATTATGTGTGTATTATTTTTGTCTCATCTTTTATATATCATAATAAACCTACACAGACAATCACTTGTTAGGCTTCCTTATTTTCTTATATTTTGGAGAATATCTCCATTCCCATAGCATCATACTCTTTTAATACCTAAGTCCTTGTGTGGCCTCAGCCATATTGGTAAGCACAGGAAAGTCACAACAATGTGAAAAATACAACAGACTTGGAACAATGAGAGGTATTAATAAGGAATTAGTTCTGTTTGAAAAGTTTGGGGAGATGGTATTTGATTCAGTCTCTGACCTGCGTAGAGCTGACTGTACTATGAAAGGGTGAGGTATGCTGGGTGTGGATGGCCTGCTCACCTAGGAGACAAGGGTGGCGGTCATGCTGAGGAACAGAAGCATAGTGGTTAAGCATGGGCTGGAGGTCAGGCCCGGGATGAAGGCTAGCTGCAATTTAGCAATTGGAACTCTGGTCCCCATTGTCTTTCTATAGCAAAGATAGTAATGCCTATTCATAAAGTCATGAATATAAAAATGAAATAAGTATTAATAAAAATACCATACTCCATGCTTTGTAGTTCAGTCTTGAAACAGTATGATGACCATTTTATCCACAAATACAGTAAAATCGAGTTCTAGGTGAACGGCATGCACTACAGGGCTGGTTTACACAAGGGTTTTGGTTTTAATTTTGAAAGCTACACACTAGTCTCTCATCTGATCCTAGTATTAGCTTTCAATCCCCAAATAGTCTGAGAGGCTTTGTATGCAGGTAGTTTGTGTTAGGATCTGAAAGGAACTGGAAAGAGTGAAGCTCAAGGAGGAAAAGGCTATCAAGTGTGTGCTGTTGATCCACTGACTCAGTAATGGGCTTCATGACAGAGATTCTGAAGATCTGGAGTGTACACAGAATTTCCCATCCAGAAACAGGAAAGGCAAATATCTCCAGTGGTCAAGAGTTAGACTAAGCAATTCCTCTGTACTTCTCTGGATGGACATGCCTCTATGACTGGTTGGATTTAGATGAGGAACTGAGGCCAGGAAGCAAATGAGGCAGTGTGCACCTGAGCCAAGTATTACCAGATCACACTTGCAGGTGATAGTGGTAGTAATAGGATAAGACAGACTGAAAGGTGAGGCAAGCATAGGAAGCATATGATTTCCTGATCTTTACCATTTACTACTTCAATCTGTACACATTCAGTATCATGTCCTTCAAGGTGATGGCTAGATCATGCTTTCTAGATGACCCTTCATGGGCCATCACTTTGGCAGATGTAGAATGTGTGGCCGATGGAGTTACTACCACCTTCATTTCCAAAGATGGAACCTTAGTTACTCTAGAATCACTAGGCCATTGTTGGCAATATAATAATTATGGTTACCCTGGACATGGAAGTACCAAGATGCTCCTGGGCTCCGGACATATCCCTTCCTGTTCCCATTGTGTAGCAGTAATGCTAGCATCAAGTGTCAGCTGCCTGTTGGAAACTTTTTTGGTCTGTCTCCCAGGTATAAGAAACCCCAAATGACTAGGATTATAGTCAAGGCTGCTGGCAACTATTTCCCTGGTGAAAGTATTCTATCATGTCACACACAGTATGAGTCAGGATATCTTTGTCAAAGCCTAAATTTGGGACTGGTGAGATGGCTCAGTGGGTAAAAGACACTTGCCACCAAGCCTGACTGAGTTCAATCCCTGGAACCAACAGGAAAAAGAGAATTGACTCCCACAAGTTGTCCTTTGACTTCCAAGTGTGTCATAGCACACTCCCCACACCCAAACACACATGAATGGAAAAAAAAAGAAACCTAAAGTTGGGGGTTGGGAATGTAGCTTAGTAGTAGAGCACTGGTCCAGCATGTGCAAGGCCCTAGGTTTGATCCCAAGCACTGGGAAAAACAAACCAACATTTGCAGAGAAAGAAAGCATACGTTTCAACATTTAATCACCAGATGGCAAAAGGAACCAGTCTTACTTCCTCTTGGTTCTCGGGCTCATGAAGTCTAGCTGTCTATCCATGACCACAGGTTTGTTGCATTTAATAGTCAGCCCTGTGCTTTGGCCCTTTAAAGATGCTGTCACCAGCTGATGCTTTACCTGAACCTTTAATAGGTTTTGCTGTATTTGCCTGTGTCCTAGAGCTTCCATATCTACCTTTCCACATGCCTCACTGCTTCTGATTTTATGCAGATCACGATGGGCAGCTCTGGTTGAATGGGCATTTGGTGTCCTGGTAGATGCCCAGCTGCTTTCGGAACAGACTTGTTACAGAAGAGTTGTTACAGAAGGTACTGTCTTGCTTCGGAGCCTTGGAAGTCTTCACTGTAGTTACTGTCAGGGTCCTGCGAGAGAACTCAAACCTCACTCCTACCATACACACCTAGAATACTGACTCAACTGTATCATAATGCAAGCAACAGTTACTTGCCTGAATCTGTAGTAGGGCTCTCTCTGGGCTCCATTCAAAACCAGCAGCTTTACAAAGCACCCCATTAGTGGGTGAGAACCATGTTCCCATGTAGGATATATATTGCCTCCTGAACCCAGAGAGTTTCACAAAGGCTGGGCTTCTGTTTAAAAGGAGAGGGTATAACAACTTGCCCTCTTTGGAGGGGCTGCCCTGGCATGCTGAGGATCACTGGCCCACCATAATCACCCCTGATAAGGAAAGGGCCCCAGACCTACATAGGTCTCAGCTTAGTCAGACTTTCTCACCGAAGCAAAATACCTGACAACTTAAGGGAGGAACAAGTTTTTTCTGCTCACATTTCAGTCCATGGGGGTGGGGTGCAGGGCAGCACAGAGCAGCTCACATCATGGTGGCCAGAATACAAAGTGCTTGTACCTAGCAGGCTCTTTCCTTTCGCCCTTT